TAGAAGTCAAGTGAATCACTAGAAACCTCCTTGGTGGATGATTTTTTGGGGAAAATGATTGTCTTGCAGCTATGTAAACTCACAAACAACCAGAAAATTATGTGGGACCAAATTACCACAACACCTTAGATGCATTCTGTCTTGTAAGTGTGGAGGTCTTCTCAGCTTAGCAGGTTGTATTTGACAGCACTATTTGTGAATAATTCTTTTTGATTTCTGTCCTAGTTTGTCTTCCTCTAGTGAGAAATTGGGTTTTCCCATCTCTTCTTCCCAACAACTTAAAATGTCTAGTATTCTGATATACCTCTGTCAACACTCTACATTCCTGTTAACTGAGATATTCTTCAACATTGATCATTGTCTTCTCCTATCAGGAAGCTGTAGCAGCAAAGGGCCACAGTATTCATGTGTGTTTGACTCCCTAGATTTGATTTTAAGCTCTGCAAGGTCAAACTCTTCATTTATTTGAGAGTTCAGACTTCTTATCCCAAGTCCTGTGAGTGATCTGTTCATGTGGGTGGCCTGTATGCTAAAAGGTTGGGCCTTGCATTTTTCTAGCCAAGTCACATGTGGGCCTCTGGAATCTCAGAAATTTTCCACTTGACAGAAGAAGGGGACTTCAGAAGCACTGCTATAAGTACTTAGAAGATAGGCTAAGAAAATATTTCAGTATGCTGATACCCTATTCTCCTTCTCACTTTTGCAAAAATCGTGGAATATTTCTTTGAAACTGCAGTTTGGCATAACTGTGGGTATAGGCTGGTTTGGACCAGGATTTGCTTGTCTGTCTGCAGAAGTGGCACAAGGGCTTATAAAGCTGCAAGATCCAACTTTAACTTGCATCAGTTGCATCAGTATGTTTTATCTTCATTGAATTTTAAATTGGCCCTGATGTCATGATGAGAGCTTCCTGAGCTCAGGATGCTGCGAAAAAATGCAGTTCCTTAGAAACAGCATGTTAAAGGTTCAGCAGATGTGTTGAAGAAGCATCATTGGAGTTCCTGCATTTAAGATGCAAGGTTTTGACTAAGTACAGGCTTATACTATTAGAGAATGGTCTCAGCAGAGGCAAATTACCATTTACAGGTTCTCTTTGCCTTTAAGGAGAATATTTTCAATTTTTCCCAAGTAGATATGAGTTTACAGTTCTTTCACACAAATGACTTACTGTGAAGTCTTCTGTAAGCAATATAGTGGGTCATTAATGGCCTGCAGAGGAGGCAGTAAGTGGGGACAAGTATCTGCAGGTGAAAGCCAGGTAGATAAATATAAGGTACTTTGGAACCTGTTTCCTTATCTAACCTTTTAGGTTGTCATTAGCAGTTTCCTGTTTATCCTTCAGTTGAAATCTCTGCTCACCTTGAAGAAGCCGATTGCTCAATGGGAAGATCCATTAGGAGCTGTATCTTGCTCCATCTCAGCAATTGGGCATACAGTTCTGAGATTTTATTCCCAGTTCAGGATTAGAAGGCTGCTTTAAGTAACAAAGTGTTCCTGGAGACTTTTGGAGACTTTTGTCTTTGGTTATCAGAATTTACTTCCTTTAAAGATAAATGTTGTGTAGTTCTTTTTTTTTTTTTTTTTTTTTTTTGTGTGCGTATCTTTTTTTGGGGCCATTTTGAGACTAAAACCAAGAGTTATCTCAGGGGGGTTATGGTTAGCTCATGCTATGCAGAAATACACACAGTAGGAAATCTGGGGATTTCTCTCTCTTGCTTCAGTAACTCTAGCAGCTTGCCCAGCAATCCTATAGTGACACGTTGTAAGGGTCATGGTTTTGGAGCAAAGCCAACACTAGTGTTAGCAAGCAGAATTCCTTATTACTCCTTTTTTTTTTTTTTTTTTTTTTTTTTTCCTGTTGACCCAACACAAGCAGCAAAAGTAACATGTCTGAACCTGTTTCCTTGTCTGTTCTGGTGGTTACCTACTTTCTTCTCCCCACATTCAGGGAAAGTGGAGAAAAAAGGTTTGCCTTTGCCCAGCAGCACTGCAGGTGTCTGTCCCTCTGAAAGAGTCCCAGTGGTGTGGGCGTGCTGGAAAGAAAAATCCCCAGTGACTTCACCCAGCTTGGCTTGTGGTGGTTACTCACAATGAGGTAACTTTTTTTTCTTTTTTTTTTTTAAGGTCTGCATGTTTAATGCCACATTTGAGTTTTTGCATATGAGTGAAACTGCAGCTCCGGGACGATTCTGGGAGTTTTCTCTGCACAGTAATTTTGGTGAGTAAACACAGATAAGAGGAAGCTGGGTTAATCCAATAACTCCTCCCTCAAGGGCAGGTGCAGCAATGTGGCTCAAGGTACAGAGCAGAGGAAATGCCTTGTTGACACAGGTGATCAGAGTAAAGTGGCCAAAACTGATATAATGATATGAGTTTGCAATGCAAAGCACTGCTTTCTCAAGGCTGCTATTTGCAGCCCTCCATATCACATCTCTGGTCTTTCACCTCTGTTTGGTCAGGCATCCTTTTGTGGATGACTTCCTAGCTCCTCTTCATGATCTCTCAGTAGCTGCATTGCTACAGTGTAGCTTGGACTGTGTTGTGTTAACCTGAGAGGATTATTAAAATAAACTCTGAGTCATATTTGTGCTGTATGTGGGATAAGATGGTTATCAAAGTTTATTTTTTCTTATAATTAGGTCTCTTAAATATTGCCTCATTAGCTACCTTCAGTGACTGTTAGAAAAGTCCTCAGGGGACTAGGGCTTGTTTGTTTTCAAGGGAAATTCACATGATAAATACAGAAACTTGCAACTCTGTTTAGGGTTTTTTTATTAATGACAACTAATACATTTTTCTTTAATCCTAGGTTCTTGTCCTGATTTCTCTCCAGCCTTTCTACTGCTATTACAGCTCTGGTATCCTATAGCAAGTAAGAACATAACATTACAACTCTTCACACGTGGGAGATGGAGGAACTGCATTAAGAGCCCATCAGATAGGAAAGTAAGAGGCTGCTTAGGTTTGTATGGAGCCACTTCCAAGTTTGGCAAACTAGGCTGGAGTGCCTTGGCCCAGGCTGAACTCTGCACTGCTAGGTTTGTAATGGCTTTAAGCAATTCTTTTCTACCCTGTCTTTAAGTGTTTATCACCCAGGGGTTCAGGCACGGCCTGCTTTATTTCTGTGGTATTCCTCTCCTTTCTCCATGCTTAAGGGGAAGCCTGGGAAACTGCAGCATATGCTTTCCCCTGCTCTGCAGTAGCCTGAGCTTTCATGTTGCCAGTCCCTTGCCCTCCTTTGCTCACATGGTTGTCAGCTGGCTCACATACATCTCTCAGTGCCTCTATCTGATAAGACTAGTCCTGTTTAGATACATTTTGGGAAGTGTTGGAAAATATCCAAGGAGACATAGTTCTTCTTTCAGCTGTCTTTTCTTCTAATCTCAGTTGGGAAATCTTGATCTTCAAATTCTGCTTCTCCAGAAGTCACCACCATTTTTTCCATCTCCTATCTCTCCCTTCACTTCCCCTTCAAAAACAGGAATAACTGGCTTAGTACTCCTACTTAGAGCTTGTGGTCCAGTGGGCATGTGGAACACCACACATGAAGTAGGAACTGCTCTGAGAAAAAAAAAGGATGTTGCTGGCCCTTTGAGGGAGACCTCTGCCTTTCTGCTTTCCTCTGTTGAATTATCTCTAACTGCCACAAGTTTTAGGTGAGGTGGAGAACTAACTGCATAATATGATCTCTCCAGTGATAGCTTTTACAGTCAAAGGTTGCAAGGTTTTTTCTGTTTATTTCTTCTTTTTTTTTTTCTTTATATTCTCCAGTTCTTTTTCATTTGCTACTACTGGGATATCTAAGAGGTATTTTTAGAAAAGCTGGCAAATCTGGAATGCTCACAAATTTTAGTAAACATGCCTTTTTATTTTTCTGCAATGCTGTGTGTGTATATTATTTGATGCTTGTCAGTATTCTCCTCAACTCAAGAATTTCAACCAGGTAGTCAGGGACAAGAAGGAAATAATATGTGGTATAAATGTTCACTCTTATATCAGGAGCAGTGAGTTGTGAGCAAAGACCATGAGGCTAGGACTTGTTTCTCTGTATGCTTTGATGGATTGATCTGTGATTAATCTGCAAACAACAAGAAAAAGGGGGTAATTGACAACAAACATAAAATTTGGAATGAATAATCTGATGCGTCAGAGGCATAGATTAACTGTATTTTGCATTTAAGGACTATTTGGAAAGGTTAAAGCTAGGAGGAGTTCTGGAATAGGCTGCATCAGCAAACTGGTACATTATTTACTCTGGCAAGGTTTTCAGCAGTAGGAAAGACTATTCCAGGAGGTGTTAGTCTGGGCATGGTCAGCACTGGCTCAGAGTTTGTGTAAAATGCAGATTCAGGAGATTACTGGGCATAGAAGCAGACTTCAGGAGTTGTAAGGCGCCTCGGAACATCAGCTCGGTAGACTACTGGATCTGCTGAGACATTCTGTTCTCCTCTCTGGAAAAGAGGAATTGGCTCATTCTGTGGAATGACTAACAAATTGTCCCTGAGGACTGGCCAGTTAGGTAGGAAAATGTTATTTACCTTAAAAAAAACCCCACGTTTTTATGCATATTCAAGATGCTAATAATAAACCACCAGTGGAGCTCTGCCCTTTGCTCATAGCTGTGGTCATTGCTTCTCCACAGTGTGACTGAGTGCTAGCATTTGTCATTTCACCCAAACTACTCATACACTAAAACTAACAATCTGGCCATCACATCTCTCCTGAGAGGTTTGGACATGAATCATGGAAGAGGGTTTGGGTCTATGCCACAAGTCATGGGAATTGTGGAAGGAAATTATTATATGCTAGATTTGTTTTATAGTAAACCACATACTGTCCTAGAATTAGATCCCTATTTTATATTTTCAAGAGTCAATTCAAAGAATCCTAACTCAGATTAAATTCCTCTTATACTTGGAAAGGTTATCTCAAACATAATTTAGGTTTTACTTCTTGTTTACAACTTATTTTCCTTTCTTATATATTTTCTCTTTTGATCCAGGCTTGTTTTTTCACATGAAAAAGCCTGCCTTGATTCCTTGAGTGGCCGGTAAGTATTTTTCTCTTTTTACTTATTGCTCTTCTCTTTTAGATAGCTAAAAATATTTGGCAGAACATCCTCACTTCAATTCTGGTCCATATTTTTTTTTTCTCCTGTAGAATCTCACTGGTGAGGCAAGGGTTATGAATGTCTTTCTAGAGATGGCAGACACTTGGGTTAGACCCCATTTAAAGCTGGGTTTTAGTGAATGCTGCAAGAGCTAAGTGCATTCAGTACAACACACACACATAAACCAGACAAAGATCCAGTGAATTCAGCTGCAGCAGAACTTCCATTTCCTATCTGGCTGTCCACTCTGAGTAACTCGGTGGAAAAAGTAGACTGATAAACCCAGTGCACATACTGTAGTAATTTCCCTGGCATGCCTTAAAAAACAATCAGACACTTCTACTCCCAGCCATAACCCCCAAACACTGCAGAAAGGAAATCAAAACTTCTGAAGAGATACTGGTTTAATTCTGCCAGAAGAGTGTTGTCTGCAATATTTCAGGTTAGGTCTTCTGCAGGAAACTAAAATAGTTTGTGGGAAGAACTCTTAAACCAACCTTGTAGAATCCACATGACATTCTATTATTTTGTAGAATCCACATGACATTCTATTATTTTGTAGAACTTGCTTTTATATATGAAAAATAATTAAAAGGCAAATACAATTAAATGGAAATTAACTAAGGCTAGATAGATTTATCATAGGCAGGATGATATCTGGAGCTTAACAAAAACCAACCTGTCATACACATCTAAATGGTATTTTGAGATATGTACTAAGCTTAAAAGAACTAATATTTCAGTTGAAAATAATAAAAGATACTATTTTGGAGCCTATTCTTTTCTGAGGCATAGCTGAAGGGTGAAACGAAGCTTTTCCATACAGATTTATGAGACAGAATTCATACTCCACCAAATGAGACCTTTATGCTTCCACCTGCATATTATGGCTTTAATAAACACGTTATCAGCTCATGAAAATGATGGCAAACAGGTGACTGGAGGATTTGATAAGTCAGCAGCAAAGATTAACAGATTTTTCTCAGGGAAAAGGTACGAGAGATTCCTTTATTTAAAACAATTGCAGCATGTGAATTGACTGCACTTAAATCATTACTGGCAATTAGTATGTGTCAGAAAGGTTGCAGCTGGCTCCAATTACAGGTAGAACTTTTAGAAGCTGAACTTAATTGTATGTGTGATAGTGAGAGGTTGAGCAAATGCATACCAGGGTAAATGCACTCTTAGAAAGGAGGGCAAGATCTTATGAACTAGGACATGATTATAGTAACTAGCCTTAGTTCCCCCTAGATCTTGTAGGGGGAAATTGATGGGAACACAGCAGTTCACCTTCCTGAGCTTCTTTGGGTGGTGGGGAGGTCTTAAAAGCTATACATAACTTGTCCCACTGTGGTAGGTTTGCCCAGTTTAACCTCTTGCCAGTCATATCCACCTTAGGCTGTATAATCAATGCACTCAGCTCAAGGCCAGTAACCTGCCCCTTCAACAGCACTGCAGCTGTAGGCAGGGAGTGATTTGCAGACTACCTGCGTATTTTGATGGGGCACTCCTTCTTGTATGATTGTCATATGTGAAAAACTCTTTCCTTCTATGATGGCAGTATATTGGACTCTATGGTATAAAGGCTCTTGGATTTACAGCTGTGTGCTTGGAATCTTTCTGCTGTAGTCACAGTTACCAGGATCTCTCTTAGTTGTGTTACAGGCTATGGCCATGTGCCTTCTCCCTGGTCATGGACCAAGGTGACCTTTTGTCATTCCACTTCTCTCTCTGGTTGTGTGTGTGTTTCTTGCCATGTGGCAAAATAGTGATGTTTTGTATAGAAGAATAGTATGTGTCTGATCATATGTTAAGAGTTGGGATTACAGCATGTTGCCTGCTTTTCATACTTCCATAGAATCCATGTGATCCACCTTGCCAGAGAAATTTATGTTTAGGCTCTTGAAGTTGTACCAATGATTGATATCTCCTGAGAGCCATATTGCTTTGCCCAGCCCTGTGCCCTGTTACAGAAGCCTTAAAGAATAGAAGATAAGAATTAATATTCCCATTTAGAGGTTGAGTAGTGCATGTAAACCTAATGTGCGTCCCTGGGTCAAGATGATGCCCTCAGGTGGAGCCTAGGCTTACTGCTGGATTCTGGAGGGGCTTGTGTGCATATAGTGGAAGAAAGGAGAGCATGGAAAGCATTCTATCCTTTTGTCTCTTTCCTTCTATCTCTTGTATGTCTGCTGGAGGAGAGAGGCTTAACCTCTGTCATCTGTACCAGTGAGTTTTAGCTTCTGTTTTCCAAAGAAAAGATGTATCCAGACTACTACATTTTTGATAGACTTTGTAGAACAATTTCAAAAGGTTGTTACTACTTCATCTGAACTTATTAATGAACTGTGGTGTGGCTGTATTTGTGTCTCCCTGTTCATATTAGCCAGCACACAGTGCCTGTGTGGGCAGAAGCCGTTCTGCAGTGTGCCTGCCTGGGCCAGTGCATGGGCACAGGCACCTTATTGGTTCCTTGTATTGCTCATAAACCCACAGCTGAGCAGCAGGACAGCCACCATGAAACTCATTAGAGCTGCTATTTTGGGAAAGCGGAGTGATGTTTCACATAACATGTGCTAATGTGCAAAGGCTGCCATGCTTGTAAAACTAAACTGGAACTTTGTTGGAGAAGCACTAAGCATTCCAGCAGTGCACACAGACCAAGTTTCAAGTAATTCCGCCAAAGTCTTCCCTCTGACCACTTTTCTACTTACATCCAAGTTCCACAAATGTTGCTATAATGTTGATAATATGTTTTAAATCCCCAGCTCTTTCTCTGGGATTTTGAAATGAAAATAATAATCAAGTAGCAACTGGGAGATGGGGAAAGAGAATCTGGGATTCCCCAACTCTCCCTATGTTATTGTAGTTTTCTTGTACCAGCATCAACAGAGGTGCTTGCTGTATAGTCAGCTAAGGTAGTTCTGTGGAGATGTCAGTATCATTTTGGTGTGTGAGGCCTTTGCAAGCAAACACTGTTCTCTCCATATGATTTGTTCAAAAGCAGCACACCCATTTTTGATACAAATATATGGTGCCTCTAGAAGAAATAATTTGTCATAGGTTTTGTAGTTGATCTGTTCTGCCACATTTATTAGAGTTCACAGGGTGCCCACAGTGCTGTGGGGCCTGTGGATGCAATTCCTAAGCAGCACTGTGCTGCAAATTTGTAATTTTCACAATGCAAGGGCCTATCCAGCATCGCTTCAGTTGGGCTGTGTGTTTTTTGTTGCTGTCGGTTCCTGAGCACAGAATTGCCAGCACAGGAGATGACCTTCCAAAAGAAACTTTGAATTTGTTAAAACAATGCGTGGTACATCCTGTTCCACTTTGTCTCAGTGTCTCAAGGCAAAGGGCTGTTCTGTGAGTGAGAGGGATGTCATCGTGTTCAGTGTTGTGCAGCTTGCTGGGAGATTTGGAGGTGAACTGTTTTATCCATTATTTATGCTATTTTTGACCATTTTATCCATTACTGATGATATTTTACTCTGTTTCATTGTGTTCAAAGAGATGAACTACAGCATTACCAGGCCCAGACAGGAGCTGTAGAATATGGGTAAAGTAAGGAATAATGCTTGTTGCCACTGCATTCCTTCTCACAGACTCTTTGGAGACCACCAGAGTCTCAGGGCAGGTCTGCCTGAAATATTGCAGGGCCATGTGGCTGTTCTGTTGTCACCTCTCTGTGAGTGCTCTGCTGGCATTGTTTTAGGTCTGTGAGCTGCTTTGAGCCTCTTTGGTAGATTGGGTGTGGCAAGCTCTGTGTAGACCCTGTAGCTCTTGACACACAACAGAGACAGCTCATTTTATTTTTTAAAATGAAAGCAGAGATGCTCATCTAGTAATTTCTGGGAGGTTTTTGCCTTCTAAGAAACAAAGTATTTCTGTTCTTAATGCAAATTTAAACAAATGCAATACTGCTCTTAGTGGAAACTGCCATGGGGTATGCAAGAAAGTTCATGTCATGAGAAAAATCAGGCTGCTAATGGGCTGTCCTGGGTCTTCCAGGCCACATCTTCTTTTCAAGAACTCCAAGAACTGCACAGATGTCTTTCAGTTATGTTTCCACAGCTGAATACTCTTCTTACTTTGTGGGAACAACCTCCATGTTAGTCAATTCACTGTGAAGAATGGATGCTGCAAATGGATTCCTCTCCCTTAGTAGATTCATTTCATATGAGAAGGTTCTTGGAGGCAAAAGTTTTGAGGAAGTAAATCCAACCTCACAGATGGGCTATATTCTTTCATAATTTGTTCTCTCACTGCTCAAGTGTTAGAACTTAGGAGAAGAACAACATTAGAGTATGAATGTTTCTTCAATGTTTTCTTTTGTCTTTAGTCATAATAGTCATATCTTACCAGCATTGTCTGTATAGATGTCTTAGGGATTTTGGTGAGACCTGGAGCTTGGGAGGAGGGATTATGTGGTCCTGTTAGCTGCTCTGCATTATGGGGCATAGCATTTTGGTTTTCAGGACTCCTGTATGGTATGCCATGAAACAGCTATAGGAGTAATTACAAAGAGAGGTGTAGTGACATATGAGAAAGGCAAATATATCAAATCACTTCCAAATTCTTTGATTAAAAGCACTCTCTAACTGTAAATTATTATTATTGTTTTCAATTATAATCCATTTGTGGCCCTGGACAGTGTAAACCAACAAGAGAGCTTTGCTTCCCTTCAACAATCCTGGTTCTGTGAAGTTACTCTCAGCTTCAGAGACTCAAATTTCCTTACATGGCTCTTCTTCCTCTCTCTCACCTACTCTCAACTGAGACTGTCTAAAATGACTATTTCTAACAGTTTTCATTATATTCATGGCTATAGCTTGTGGGTGGGGAAAAAAGGGCTTTAGAACACGGTGTCATTGAACTGCAATTCTCTTAGAAATGAGAGTGACAAGGCCTGAGGACCCTGATGCTCTGGGAACAACACTGGC